ACCCATAGTTCGAATACACTTATTCTAGAAATATGTGATTACTGTGTTTGATGTGACAAATGTCATATTTTCATTTTCAAATATTTGTGTCAGTATTAATATAGCAGCTTTTTAGATCGATGTAATTTTGTTATTTGATACCGCAGGCCTCACATCTCATTTTAGGTCTACCTTATTGGGACATATTATACAAACTTTGCCTACTATGCTATGCTATAAAGAGGAAATGCCTTTGTCTTACCCCTTTCCATGAAATAGTTGTGACAATATTGTTTGTTAGTGATAGATAACTATGATATCTTCTGCAAATCGTATTCATCAAAAGATCAAGGTCATAGAGATTGATCTATAATGTTATGAAAAGATATAAATTAACCCATCAAGAATAAATCAAATTCTCACAATTTATTTTTTGAGCCTTATGCAAGATGAATACGTCAGTCACACCGCCGACTCGACTCAATATCAATTTCAAACCAACCGGTTGTTGGAATGACTGGAGCAAATCACTGACGAATAAACATCAATGCCCGTGTCGCAGTTGACCGATTTTGATTAATCGCTGAAGTTCCTTTTAGGGAAGCCCTAACAAAGGAAGAAAAGAAAAAGTAAGTTTCCCTCCTATTTTTCAAATTGTATGCGATGTCATAGTATTTATTATGTTGACATCATTACCAAATTTAAGTTTGGCGACAATATATCGAAAGAGAATATTTTCTTAGGTTATGCTTGATTGACTGTAAAAAGCGACATCATATGTATTGTCTGAATTGGTTGTTAGAGGTCGAATTAAAATGAGTCAGAAAACGGAACAAAGTGTGGGAATATTCGGCGTCAAAATTAAATGAATCAATACACCAGAGTTGGCTTTGTGTCATAGTGCCCTCACTCGTCATAATTTTAACCATAATGCAAAACAAAAATACATTTTGTGATTTTACATACAATTCATATGAAACTTCAATAATTGGATACCGAATGGATGGTTCATTCCACAGATTCGACATAGTTTGTAAAGGGTAAGCCCTATTCAGGTATCAGATACATGGACAAAAAGTCTGGTTGTCTCTTTCCCTCGGTGTACTCGACTCTCTGCAAGCTGTCTCTAGCTGTTATGATTTTATCTGCCTCCCCCCTATTTTCCCCACCTTTTATTTTCATTCTTATTCCCCCCGTATCCCCCTTTCCGTTTCTTTTATTCCTTATCGTAGACCTTTTCTCCTTCTCTCTCTCTGTCTCTCTCTCACCCTCCATCTCTTTAAACTCTCTCTCTCTCTCTCTCTCCTTCTCTCAACCCTTGCCCCCTCTCTTTCTCTCTCTCACCATCCATCTCTTTAAACTCTTTCTTAGATTATATATTTTCCTGTTCTTCTCTCTCTTTTTCTCCCTCTCTCTCTCTTTCTCTCTCTCTCCTTCTCTTAACCCTTGCACTATCTCTCTCTCTCTCTCTCTCTCTCTCTATTTCACCCCTACTCTCTATACCTCCTTTTTTTCTCCACTCTTTATTATATTATGTTTTTCCCTGTTCTTCTCTCTCTCTCTCTCTCTATTTCACCCCTACTCTCTATACCTCCTTTTTTCTCTCCACTCTTTATTATATTATGTTTTTCCCTGTTCTTCTCTCTCTCTCTCTCTCTCTAATTTTCTTTACACTCTTTCTAAGATTATATATTTATATGTACTTCGTTCTCTCTCCACCCTCTCTTTTCCTTTCTAATTCTTTCTCACTCCCTCCTTAGCTCCTTCCGATCTTTACACTCTTTCTAGGATTATATATTGCCCTGTTATTCACTCTCTCTCTCCCTCTTTTTTTTTTCTCTCTCTCTCTCTTAATAACACCTAATATTTTCTCTTTGACATACAGAGGTCAAGTGAAATCATTAATTCAAGGATTTCTAAATCATCTCACCCTCCCTTCCCCTTTTCTATTAATCGACGTGAACAAAATCTCCAGGCCCCTAGTAATCTCTAGATCAAAAAAATATCATGTATTCGTCACCTTAAAGCCCCACTGTCCTACTTGTAGCTACTTGCTCCCTCTATATATAAAACTTCCCCAATCGGTGCCTGTTGGTCCCCCATGATCCTTTTTTCTGACTTTTAAGTCTTAAAGACCGTCAATACTACTGGGCCAGAAGGGATTAGACCACACAGCGAGGTCACTGACAGGTGGCTATCTCATTAACTCAGCTCTCAACTAACATAAGAAAAAGAGGATCATGGGGGACCAACAGGCACCGATTGGGGAAGTTTTCTATATAGAGGGAACAAGTAGCTACAAGTAGGACAGTGGGGCTTTAAAAGACGATTTTTTTTTTTTGTAGCAGCAATTCGAGTTTCATTAATTACGTGTCGACTTTGATCACATGTCACTAGATAAATACAAAAGAAGAACAAAAGAAGGTTGTCATAAACATATTCTTCAGAGCATGTAGTATCTTCTTTTTAATTCTGAGTATATTTCTCGCCCAAACACCATAACAATAATCTCAAAATTAAATGAAATAGTATGTCTATCCCTTAGTCCCCTGACCGACAGCTACAATAACAATTTATAAAGCTGAATGTAAAATATTAAATTATTATCATTATCATTATCACCATTATAGTTGTTATCATTATTACTGTTATTATTATTAACATCGTTATTATCATAATCATTTTCACTAAAGTAATTTTATGTTTTATAGTGTTGTATGTTAAGTAATATGTCTTCATTGTATAGTTTATGTTGTCCTGTACATTGTTATTTATATTAAAACATGTAACCTGTACTTATTGTGTGTTTCCATTTGTGTTTGTACAATCAAATATATATTTATATATACATAATAATAATAATAATAATATTTAAGATTTATATAGCGCTGGTATACAAGTACAGTTTCTAAGCGCTTTACAAAACAAGTGAAATGAAAAGTACGGTTAAACTAAATATGTGATAAGGAACAACAAGAAACATGAAATAAACAATGCGCTTAATTTGGACGAATTACTTAACTAACAATGTATAACAATAACATGATAATGAAAAATGAAAATGTAAATACAATAATTAAGTATCATTAATGAAACTGCAATAATTATGTACATTAGACAATAAATAGATTACAAGAAGATAGGACATGTGGTTATAAATACGGTATGATGATGGACAATTACTTCGTGTTGAATAGATAGGTCTTAAGTCTACGTTTAAAAGTGTCAAGAGTTGGGGATTCACGGACAGAGACGGGGAGATTATTCCAGAGTTTAGGAGCACATACAGAGAAGGCACGATCTCCATAGCGGGTGTGAGTTCGAGGACCAGATGATAGTTGAAGATGAACAGATGATGATGAGCGGAGCCTGATGGAGGAGGTTTGCACCTTTGGTGAAATGAGTCCATTGATGTATACTGGAGCAAGTCCATTACGGGCCTTGTAGGTGAGAAGCAGTACCTTGAATTGGATGCGCTGTGGAATGGGGAGCCAGTGAAGAGAACGAAGAATAGGTGTTATGTGTTCGTACTTTCTTGTGCGTGTGAGGAGACGGGCTGCAGTGTTCTGGATGTGTTGGAGTTTGGTCAGATGTGAGCTGGGTAGATTTATCAACAGGCTATTACAGTAATCAATGTGTGATGTCACAAATGCATTTATTAGGCGCCCAGTAGAACTTTGGTCTAGGTACTTTCGGAGTTTTCCGATCCGGTAAATTCCAAACGAAGCGGCTCTGCATGATTTCTGAACATGTTGCTTCATGGTAAGTTTGTCATCCACTCCGACTCCGAGATTAATAGACGATTTTGATGGATTGATTGTATTGCAGTCGACTTCGAAATCTGGCAGCTCACTGGCTTTTCGAAATGCTGACGTCATATGCATGAGTTCTGTCTTGGCACCATTAAGCATGAGGTTGTTATCACGAGCCCAGACTTTCACATCTGCGATGCACTGCTCCAGTCTCACCACCCCACTGGCGATTTCACTTTGCTTCAGTATCAGATACATTTGTGTGTCGTCGGCATACATCATATCAAAACATATCAAAACGAAGTTAAAATTTGCAATTTGTAAATTTTAAATTGCAACAAACACCAGTTATTTGATATCATCCACCTAAAATTATAAATACCGTCATTTTATTTGCTCATCCATTACCACATTTGAAAGCAATTTGAAGCAGAAAAAAATAACGAAATCATGTCGAAGGCAAACAAATTAAAATATAAAATCATTAAAAGAGATTATATCAATGACATACATGCACCTATCACTTGAATATAAATTGCCCTCTTATTCTTAAACCTTTCAGTTTGAAATTCAATCATAGACCAAAACTGCAGTTACTACAAAAGGAAGAAAAACATTATGTCTACGTATATATGCTCAATCTCTGGACCACCATTCCTCACGACCATTTCATTAAATAATATCTTGATGACAATAAAGGATCAACAACACTAGGTATTAGTACCAAAAAAAGCGACTTAGCACTAAAAAGAAGGATTATTCCCCGGATTATTCATAAAAGAGTCACTTCGTCATTAGAGAAAACTAAAGCAAGTCATGCGCTTATTATTCGTTTAAGTTCATAACCACAAATAAACAGGATATCCATTAGTCACTCATGGTCCAGTCATGTAGATAATGATTTCAGAATCCAGTATCAGTTATAACCAAGTAGCTTACTTTATCATATAAGTATTTCGTTTAATTTAAGGATACAAAAGAAAGGGACTGTAATGACTCGTCTCTTTCATATTGGTTATTAAATGAAATACCCTGTAGTTGGAATCTTCCATTAAACACGTCTTTGATGTAGTACAACAAAAGGCTAACGTGATTTTGTTTTTGAGAATTATGTTTCCAATCAACGGGTTTAAAGGGACTCCCGCATTATACAGTCAAACCTGCTTTAGTGACCACCTGTCTACAAAGATCACCTGTCTACAAAGACCACATTTTATGTTTCCCTTGAAAATATTTTCTCATTGAAACATGTACTAAATGAACCTGTCTACAAAGACAACTTTTTGTGTTTCCCTTTGGCAGTTGCTATAAACAGGTTTGACTGTACATACTTTTGATAAATCTATAAGGTAATTCTCTTTGTTATGATAATCTTCATGACTGTCTTCAATAGATATTTCAAGTGTATATCTTGATGTAATTCGATTTTTGTAAAAGACTTGAAATCTATTTGATTGACATTCTATATGATACAAACTTCATAGGCCGGATCCACATCTTCCTTACCGTCAAAGGACTTCGTTGGAACACCGCCCTTCTCGATCTTAGAGAAATCGAGGTCAGTATATTCCTTACCGGAGGACGTCGGCTTCGTTGGATCACCACCCTTCTTGACTTGAGAGAAATCAAGGTCAGTATATTCCTTATCATCGAAGGACGGATTCTCATAATCATGCGACTGGTCGTTTTCCGACGTCGACTTCGTCTTGGTCAAGGAGATTCCCTGACTCGTTCCTTGGTTCGCACGGGTGCTCGATTTCGACGAGTCCTGCCCGCTAACGCACACCCTTTCATATTCATGGTATACATCTTCTACTTGTTGGTTTCCAGAGCTTGTTGGTGAATTTGCTGGTAACAAGTCTGTGCACATACGGGGAGTCGTGGTGAAGCTTGCCGAAGCGATGGGAGAACTCCTGTTCCCTTGCTGTCGAGATCTATGGACCAAAAAAGAAGATATTACCAAGGATAGATAATTAATTAGACTTACAGAGACATTGAGGGTAAACTTCTCACCTGTAATTTATTCAGGGAATAGAGAATTATAACCTGTTTGTTGTGACTGTCATTCACATTGACATTATAATCGGTCTATGCATGCTACGAGAGTAATGATATCATATGAATGAAATCTATTATATTTCTTCTTTAAAGTGACTTGTTAACACTAGATAAGATAGAGTGGTCATTCACACTGAAAACATTACGGTTTTTCAATTTTGGCATCGACTTGGTCAATTGGAGTACAGTTTTATATTATGATGTGAGCTCATGTGTTTATATTAACAATGGTTTGCCTCTGAATATTTCAAAGTAACATGCGGGGTAAAGCTATGGTCACAAATCAGAGCAGCGACCGACCGACTAGTAGCCTGCTCGGTCGCTGCTGGAATTTAGGCATCGCCCAGCGATGTTTTGGAGAATTTGAGCTGGCTGTATAGGCCCACCGATGCCTGGGCGGTGTCCTGCCGACTATCCGTCGGTCGCCGGTCGATTTTAGGTCAAAACTGGGCGAAATCGCGGAGCTTTTCCGCGCGGTGTCCCAGCAGTGACCGACCGGTGACCCACCGATTCCCGAGCAGTCTCCTACAGGCCACCGTGCGCGAAAATGTCTGCGGACGGTGGAGAACGGCGAGGGCACACGGTGGTTCGTTATCAAAGCGGGCAACACGTTAATGGGGCGTTGGCGCTTATTTACACCCGGTGGGACCCGGCGAAAGTTTTGGGCATGTTCAAAACTTTGGCCGGCTGGCACCGGCCGCAAGTAAGCGGCAAGAGGACGGTGTTGAACGGTATGAGGACGGTATGAATACGTTATGAAAACGGTCACACTGTATGAACACGTTCACAACACGCTCATAACCCGTTACAGAACGGTGATGAAAAATGGAGAGCGGACTGACCGTTGCCGTTCAAATCGGGGTATTTGTGGCAGTCGTGTCATGACGTCAGCAGTCCGGGGACTCGCTCACAGGACGCTCCGAGCGGTGAGGGGACGCTAAGTGACTGGTAGGTGGCTGCTACAAACCCGGTGCACACGTTCGAGACCCGGTATGGGCCCGGTATGGAAACGGCCAAAATTTTCAACAAAAGTCAATCTGGGCGGTGAAGACGGTAGAAGCACGTTCAACACCCGGTATGCGCCCGGTGAGAACGGTCAGAAGATGTCAACGAAACGGTGAAAAGATTAATTTTATGAATTTTTTTTTGCGGCCGGGGACAAGTTCGCTCGAAACCCAACGTTCTGGACTCTGTTGTTTTTTTAATAGCCCGGCAGGTGGACGGTAGGCCTACACGGCAGAGTGTGAGAGCTCCATTAAACTTCAGCAGCGACCGAGCGATGCCTTAAAAACAAGCGGTGCCTGGGCGGCCGCCGCTCGCTGGCCGGGCAGAATTGGTTAAAAACTCGCCGCTCGGCCGTTGAGCAGGCTACTTTTGGGTAATGTGACCATAGCTAAGACAAGGCTGTCCGTTAAGTCCACTCCTTTTCATCTGAAATAGTAAGTCTCAAGATTAGAAAAGACATCTTGATTAAAGGAATTAAAATAACGGCACAGAAATTAAAATGAATGCTTATGCTGATGATACGGTATTATAATCTGGAAGGCCGTAACGATCTGTTAAGAGTTTTAGATATTCTAGAAAGATTTAAACGTCTTACTGGCCTAGTATCAAACAGAAATAAATCAAAGCTGTTAATTTTGGGTTATTATAAAGCTTACCCTCCGGACATTGCTTCGTCTGGTTTGACGTTCAACACAGGTGGGTGTACAATTTTTGGTGCATTTGAAAGACTTTTTTGATTTAAACTTTCCACCCCAACTACCAAAAAATAGTTGTTTTTTCCGTATTTGGTCAATGAGAAACCTAACTCCCATTTGAAAGATTGCTATCGTAAAATCATTGGGATTGTCCCAACCAATTTATTTACTTTCTATCCTTCCAAAACCGCCTGAAGCCCTCTAAAAAGAGGTCGAGTCTTTACTTTTTTAATTTATTTGGAATGGAACACCAGACAAAATAAACCGTACAACAATAATTGGAGACTATGTAGACGGACGTCTGAGAATGTTACATTTACCCTCAATTATTTCAGGCTTAAAGATTGCCTGGGTTAAACGTCTGCTTGACGATAGTAATGTTGGGGAATGGAAATGTTTTTATGAAGTTTGTTTGGCTCCATTTGGAGGAAATCTTTTCTGGTATAGTAATATTAATAAAAACGATTCTCGTATATTGTCGATAAAAAACATTTTTATTCGGGAAGTTGCCCAGTCATGGGCTCTTTTACACTCGATACGGAAATCAGTCCTTCCCATATCAGACGACAAGATATATGGAACAACACTATGATTCGTGGAAAAAAAAATTATTTATAAAGTTATGGTATGACAAAGGTATAATTAAATTATCGGATCTTCTTGACGAAAATGGTAATATTTTTTACCTTCTTTCGATTAAGATTTTGTAGAATTTTATTCTGTGAAAACGGCTATTCCCATGATTGGAAAAATAATATCCCTAAATGTTCAGAAGCAGACCTAAGAGCTCAAGAGGAATTGATTAAAAATATAATAGAGGTAACGAAGATATGTCGCTATATTCATAATTTAAGTGTTCAACAGGTTTTTAGTCCCCCTTAATCAATAGATAAATGGAATTCTCTGTTTAATATCCCAAACATAGACTGGGCTAAAATTTTCTTAGTTCCTGTTAGGTCATGTTTATCTACACGATCCGTTATTTTCAGATTAAGATAATACATCGTATAGTTGGTGTTAATGAATATCGCAGTCAGACTTATGTTCATTTTGTTATAGCTCCGTGGAATCTATAGAACATTTTTTTTTGGAATTACCCAATCATTAGAAGGTTTATTGCGGATGTCTAACATTTAATTTTAGAGGATAACGTTACTTTGAATAAAATTAATTTCTTATTTGGGTTTTTTGGAAACGTTGGAGTTAAATTTAATTTTATTATTTTATAAGCCAAATACGTTATATCTTCCAACAAATGCAAAAATAGCGTACTCTCAATAAATTCTTTTAAATGCATGTTAAGGTATTATCGTTCCCTTGAACAATACATTTATGTTAAAAATAAAAAAAATTGTATCATTTGATAATAGGTGGACAAACATTGTGTTGCTTTAAAAAGAATATTCAAAAAATGTACCACCATGTCTTGTATAATCAGCTATATTCTTGTTGTTGATTCTATTAGTTATATTATGTATGCATATCCATATATGTTTTGTTATGTTTTGCAAAGTCGAAAGCAATATTGAATAAACATGATTTTATTAAAGGTACTATGTCCCATTTGCAGGCCAAAAAAATGAAAAAGTTGAATTCCAACTGCATTTGAAAGATAATACTAATTTAGAACTTCCCTAAAAAAGTTGGGGCTTGAAAATGTCTTCAAGTGGGAAAATAACGACTATTAGTTGTCAAATCGACTTTAGGGCTATAGAGCCCAAAAGTAATAGTTTTGATTTTCAGACAATTGTACCGAATGGTCATACGTTTTATGCTGAGCAAAGATTCAATCAGTTTAATCTTGGCCATCACAAGAAGTGGGTTATTGATGTAGACAAATGCTTATGTACCCTTTACAACTCTTTTCATGTATGTTATTACCAAAGAAGAAAAAAGCCAGTCAGTCAGTCACTCAATAGTGTCTAACAGTGAAGTCTAGCAAGTAAACGGGTTTCCTTGCATAATTTGAATATAAGGACACTGCTAATGTTTAAATTTCACAGATAGGACATACATGACATATTCATAATTCCTGCAAAGTTCTACAGAATTTGAGGTTGGCTGCAAAAGGGACATAGTACCTTTAAACAGAAAAAAAAAAACATTACCTCAGATTCTGAAACAAAATCCTGGATTTAGCTCATGCTGCAATCATAATGATATACCTTTAGTTAAGTCGATTGCCTGTCTGATTATCTAGATATTTATGATTGGAAATCGAAATCAAATTTTGCGTTTTCCTAAGGGTTTTTATAGCACTACAGTCTAATGGGGGAAAATGAGTATGGTAAAACCGGCACTCAAATTTGTTTAGGGCTTCAATATTACGCCATATCACATGCATTGATAACGCGTAGGGACATGCATCTCAGATTTAACATTGTTAAACGATGCCTTTAAAGATCCATATGTACATGTATGCTAATCAAAATTGGTTACACTAATTCCTGTATTCTTCTCTTTCTTTCTCGCCACCCCTCTCTTGCCATCTTTCCTTCGCCCCCTTGATTTAATTTGACAGCACGGCTGTTCTACCGAGGAGTCTTAATGAGAGGTCCTCTTGGGCATTATTCCCCCCTCTCTCTCTCTCTCATTTCCTCTGGCTATCTCTCTCTCCCTTTCTCTCCCTCAATTTCTATTCTTTGTTTCGGTAGTATTTGCATTGATATGTGTTTACTTGATTAAAACGGCTTTCGTCGAATCATCGGGTCTTCGCGTCGCGTGGTCGCGTTACCCGACTTTTTGTGAAAACGTGCCCTTTATTCACGAAATGTCGGGGGATGTTTGTAAAATAAACCCCTCTCATCTACAAATGGTGTGTTCCAATTTACACGGCACTTTGTGAAAAAGATACGACAAATCTACGAAAGGTCGTGCTACCCGACCACCCGACCGGACGCGATGACCCGATGATTCGAAGTAAGCCATACATTAAACGAAATAATACCAATTTACCTTTTGCGTTTTCGAATACAAATGAATATCATGATGACACAGATGAGAACAAGAATCACGATTACAGATACGATCGTCAAAGTCACAGGCGTGTCACTGCTTTCTAAATTTAAAGATAACAAATTATTAACACGAGACTTTTGAGAAATCAACCCAAGGGTATTTTAAATACTCTATTGTGCATCCTATATAAGTCATGTTCGGATTACATGATACGTCATCAGATTATCTGCATATTCATTTCAACCAATGACGGAATATCCTATTAATTTTTTTTTAGATTGATCTTTCGGAAAGTCCTTGTGATCATTTAAATTAATCACATCTTCACATAACAGGGGGGGGGGGGGGGGGGGGGGTAGTGAGCACAATTTTTTGGGGGGCTCTTGAAAATTTGAAAATTTGCACCCCCCCCCCCAAAAGGTAAAAAATCACGTTTTTACACGTTTGCCCCAAGCCCCACCCCCTGGATCCGCCACTGCACCTTAGGCTTTTCAACCTTTAGTTGTTTCTTTCCTCATCTTTTGGCCATACAAGAATGATATGCCTACATGAACCTGACAGACAGAATTATGAGTCTAGGAACGGAAAAAAACACAAGAACAAACAAATATGTTACTAGAATAGAGGTTTGGGGAAAAGAAGCACATGTACAAGGGGAGGACAAAACCAATCAGGGGCGGATCCACGTAACGATTATTCCGGCCCGGTCCCCCCCCCCCCCCTAGCACCCCCAAAACGATAAAAAAAAATAGGATAATAATGTAAAGTTAACCTTTATAAAACAAAAAACAAAAGCCCCCCCCCCCCCGCTTATTCGCCGGCCGGCTGAGTCGGCACTAAATTTTGTAACAAGATTTGGCTACCCCCCCCCCCTTGACGCCGTCTGGATCCTCTGCAGGCGCGGATCCACGGGGGGGGGGGGGCTGACGGGTCAACAAAAAAAAAAAAAAAAAAAAATTCTCACGAATTAGGTGGGAAAAAAAATAGTGGTCTCACCCCCCACCCCCCCCCCCCCCGCTTATTCACCGGCTGACTGAGTCGGCGCATATTATTTCCTGAAAAATTTCCCCCAAAAGTGCCTCCTACTCCCCCCCCCCCCCCGCTTATTCACCGGTGGCTGAGTCGCAACTAATATTTTCTCACGGATTGGGCCCCCCCCCCCCTCTTCCATCCGGCTGGATCCGCCACTGAGACCAATGCACGCAACATGAGGAATAGAAAATTCCTCTTCTTAACTAGGCTCATAGCATGAAGTTGAACGTGGAATATGAATGGTAAACAAATATTGTGAAAATGGGGGTTGAAGGGGACTGGGAATAGAAAGCGTGCATTCATCTTGTTGATCATGCATGCGTTAAGATTATCAAATTATCAAAAGGAATCGTGCGGTTCCACAGACAAAGAAAACGTATATATGACGAGGGCGAAGACAGACGAAATGCACACTTTTCACACAAAGAACATTAGTTTTCGTTTTTAAACCGCGCAATCTCCTATTTTAAAGTATGGACAACTTTAGTGCAATCAATTCAAGCTCGTTACACCCACACGCTGATAATTTGGCAGATTTATAATTTCAAACAATAAATCTCCTTGGTTTAGCAAGGCATCCTTATATTTTATGACACCAGTGCCCCCCAAAAAAGATGCACCTAGATGTAATCTGTACATGCATGGAGAAGAGGTTTACAAAAGTTAAACAAAACTACCTTGGAGGTTGATTAACTCAGATGGGAGGAGTGATGCAGAAGCAAAGATACGAATTGCACTTGTAAAGGAGTCATTAACCAAACTGGAAAATGTGCTAAGAAATCAAAACCTAAAATGTATTACTAAAATCCAGGTACTAAAGTGCTATGTATGGAAATTTCTGTACTACTGTAAGACTGGACGTTAAATAATGGACATTAGGATTCAAGCAGCAGAAATGTGTTTCTAAAGAAGGACGCTTAGGTAAGCTTTGACCGACATGATATCAAATGAAGAAGTGATAGATAAGGCATGTGTTTACAGTTCCTCCTTAACATCATAAGGAAAATACAACTTCAGTTTGTTGAGCATTTTATGAGAAGAGAAGGCACAGAAAACAAGATACTGACAGGACAAATTGAGGGAAAGAGAAGCAGAGATGAGACAGTGCATCAAATACATGGGCAAGTTCTTTGGGCTGACGTGTAACAGAGGCAGCATCACATTTCAAAGGACCAGAGATAGAAGTAGATGGAAAGCCTTGATCGCCAATATCTGGAACAGACAAGGCACCTAGCAAGCAAGCAAACGTTTTGAGATAAGGTGAATTTAGGCTAATACAATAATATCAAATAAATAGTGGCAAAAGTAGGGGAAAAAGTCACTTAACTAAACTCACTTAAAGTGACTGGGACCATGAAGGGTCCACTCTCATAGAAGGCCATCTGTTATGGAGTAACAACATTTAATTTTTAACATCAATTTGTTGGTTTCTATATAATCTCTTTTTCAAAACACACATTACCATATTCATGAATGTAAATCTGATGAAAAAATTATAGTACAGTACATACACGTAAGTAGAAAATTTTAAAAGACATACAATTAACAAGTTATTTTTATCATGTAAAGAAAATAGAATAAATATAAATTAGAAGATATTGGAGGAGCACAGTATAGGCATGAAGCCCGATTTAAGAGTGAATGAAAATAATATAACTTGTGATTCTACAAACACCTTTGTTTTAATAGAGAGAGGAGAGGTGAGAGAGGGAGGGAAACGAGAGAGAGAGAGAGAGAGAGAGAGAGAGAGAGAAAGAGGGGAAACTTAGAGGGTGGGAAGAGTGGGAAAGAGGGAGAGAGAGATTAGAGGATAAGGTGGAGAGGGAAGAAAGAGAGAGGATATACAGAAGGAAATGGAAAGAGAGGGAAAATGTAGAGAGGGGATGTAAGAGAAGGGAAAATCATTAGGCCGTCTTAAGATCTCACGATTATTCTAGTCGTTATTTCATCAAAATATAGGGTTGTGACTGGATTAGACTATGTTTAGGCTTATGAAAAGGTACACTACGGTGTGTTAGATCCATACTTGGAAAGATAAAATTGTTATATGTCCAAATTTGTCTACGGAGCAATTCTCACTTTAGCACAGGTTGTACAATCATTCCTTTTGATTGTAGTGCAGTATACTGCGTTTTTATTGACTTTAAACAAGAACCGATGTGTAGTCTGCAGTAAACCAAAGCACTATAAGTTATATTGAGCCTCATTAAAACATGCCATGGCAAAACCACAGCATCAATTTTTAAAATAAGGTTAAGAGTAATACGCGTCACATTTCCTATCTTGTAAGCCGGTGCACCAAGACTACGTGGGTGTTAAAGGGAGTGTATCATGACGAGACTATGTGTCTTTCCCGTGGCCCTACTCGGGGCCAATCGGGTATAATGCGACTACGGACGACGCGACCGCAGCAAGGGCGCTTTAGTAACGAGACGGTACGCACAAGGAGACGGTAACGCGAGCGAAAAAAACAAACTGCGCATGCGCGAACCTGAAATCTCTCCGTCCCGTCGATTTTCGGAACGGTACTCGGCCAACATAGCGTTCGTTCCCTAAACACGACGTAAGAGAGAGAGAGCTGAAAAAAATAATTTGTATCTAGAAATATCTACGCTGACTATGGAGGGTACTACAATGAATGAAGATAACAACAGGGAATCAATTAGTGTTGGCGATGTCTGTTCGGTAAGTAGCTTATTCTATATCTCAATCTATATACAATAAATTGATGGTTTGGCCGTTTAGGCCTACTTTGGGGGCCTTTTTTCATCGTAATGCATGACGTGCCTGCACGCTGTGCACTACAGCCCACCGCCGGGTCCATTGCCCCGGCGCTCCGGCCAAGCCTCAAGGCCCTAGAGCACTAGCACCAAAAGGCAGCAGTTCACCGCGAGGCTTAGAACTATACCACGATTCACGAATTGAAATCTTATGGAATTTCTGTACCATTAAAATCAAATAATTGCCAGCTACTAGAAGTAGTAATTAATCGCTCTCAATTAACAACGAACAAATTCTAATCTTGCTTTTTTAATTTTACTAAAAAGAGTGCATCTAATCATGCTAGATCTAATGTCTGAGTATGATCTAACGTTAGATCTAGGTCTAGACTTTAGAAATCTAGACGTAAATTGTTAAAGTCTGCTTTTTTAAATATAGATTGAGTGTTTTGTAAAGTTTGTAAATAATTTTGGCATTGGTCTTCATTCACCTGTTCACTATCATTCTTTACCCAAGATTCTGGAAGAATGCTGTGTTCTCAGCAGTCTGGCTTCCATTATCCCTTTTGAAATCATTTATAAAATTAAAAATAGACCCTCTAGTTGTTATAATTCATTTTTATTTTTATTTTTAACAAGCTGGAACAAACTGATGGCAGAGGCAGAGCCGGTGAAGCCACATCAGCTGGGATTCGTGGGAAGAAGCAGAAGGGAACAGTGCGGTAAGTGCATAATTAAATGTTGATTATTGATCTACTTACGAGAATTGCATTTTAGACAGTCAGAATGCTTGTGGAAAATACGAACCACATCTGGGAGAATGTAGAATGACAACTTGTGCAGCTAGTTAGATGTGGTACAGCTAGTAAGCGCTTTTTCACATTGCCAAGGTATCAATATGCAAATATTTATGAAAAGGGGTAAATGACATTGTTTAAATATTTTTTCATATGGGCGTGAAATAGTTCAGAGGATATTGAGTAGGTCATCTTCTTCTCTTAGTTGAGCCCTCAACTATTTTGGAGATTCCTGGAGTCCAAATAAAGTAAATGTTGAAATCCGACCGGTTAGGAGCTTTGGATAGTATTAGAACGAGAAGCATCAATTTTGTGTAGAAAAATAAGCGATAGTAGAAGTAGGCTATTATGATTTTTGGAAGGCAGGTATTGATGAAGGGGTAACGGAGCAGGAAGGAGTGAGGTAGTTGTGTAGACGTAGATCTCCCGGTCGTCTTCCAAGATATAAGTTCAATTATCAGTTTGCGACTTTAAACGTAGTGCAGAATGCGTGGATGTCAGGTTACATAAAATTGTTTAGCAACTCTGTGTTTTTTTTTATGTCACGTGCAGTGACTAGAGTTTCTGGCAGTTTATTCCATAGTTCAATAACGCGTTTTGTGAATTATATTACATACATTCCAATGCATGGATAGGGGGTATAAATACCTATGAAAAGATTAAAAATAAGTTGGTTTAAAACCTCAAATGACAATTTGTCATTGCCATGAATAACATTCAAGAAAAAATTGTAAATAACACTTTAGAACACTGTGACAAATAAGTTGCTGTCGATTTATTTTCTATTCACTTAAATTCAAACATTTTCTCATAACCATTTGGATCTTAATTACTCGCCCTTGCCGGGCAAGTGACGTCAAACTGAACTTGCCCATAACTGATTTTCACTCCCCTTGGCAAAAGCGCAAGTGAGTGTGTAGAGCCCTGTAAAGTCGAACATTGTACTTTGTGATCATCTTCTTCTAGAGGTCTACTAGTAACTTTAACCAGAATATATCATTATTATTTTGTTAGAAATAATAACAACTGATGACCAGGTTGTAATTTTCTTCTTAAGTCATATTTAAAATCATCATTTTGTCTGTGTCTTTCAGCATGACTTGGGACCTACATAAAGACCTAATCTTGGTCGGTGAGGTGATACTCGCCAGACCCTTCCAGCATCGTCAAGGGACAAGGGAGAGGGGACGAGCATGGCAGGAGGTTGGTGCAGCCATGCAGAACCGTAACCTGAAAGTGGATAAAAGAGCGGTAAGAGACCGCATGTCAAGTCTCATGGACAAAGTCAGAGACAAAAATCGACAAGAGAAGGCAGCCAGCGGCATAGCAGTGGAAGAAACAGATGATGAGAAGAAGCTGATAGAGACTGTGGAGGAGTTGATGATAGAGCTGATGAGGAAAGGAGAAGAGCTGATGAGGAAAGGAGAAGAGGGAAGATTTAGAAAGGCAACAGAGAAATGAGGCGCGTGAAGCGCTTCAGATGCAGCAACAACAGCAGTTCCAGCAACAGCTCCAGATACAAAATCAGCAGTATCAACAACAACAGCAACAGATACAACAGCAGTTGGTGCAGCAACAAGCGCTCATGCAACAGCAAAATCAAAAGACGATAAAAGATGGGAGTTGTTGCTACCTTGTTTGGCGTTCAACAATAAGGGATAGATCAACGTCGATCTGGCGCTGCTCAGTGGCTGCCGGGCTCACGATCAATTGGGCAAAAAGAATTTCCGTTTCGGTTTAATAAAATTTGGAGTGGACTATTTGGCTATTATTATTATTATTATTATTATTATTATTATTATCAACAAACTCAAACTGTCATGCTGGCTGTGTTAAAAGCACTAGGCAATAACGATTGATTTTAGAACAGATACAAGTGGGGGGGGGGGGGAGGGGGTATCTAGTTTTATGTGCGGTTCATGTTAGTGATGACAACCACTATGAATGTGGTATCATGCCTCATCCCAAGTTTCAGGAAATGGATGTTGCCGTTTTTGTTGAAACAAAGGTCATAGGTCTTAGATCATACCACGAGAACACCTTTTTTCTATCAACTTTTTAGTAGAAATATTTTATGCCATAATATATATGTTTTTTGTTCATGGGAACTTCCAGTTTTTTTACAATATATATGAGTCAATGTATACATAACATGTGTTGTGCTGATCATTTTATGTTTGCCTGTTTATGTGTAATAATGCTGCTTTTTGCCATCTCAAGCGTGCTTTTGCCTCTTGCTGGTGTCTTTCATACGACACAGGGCTGATAATGAATTGTTTTTTGTATGTAATGTTTATAAAGGATTATTGTTTATTTTAACCAAAACAAAGTTACTATTTTATACGAGAGGAGAAAAACTCTGAGAGGCTTTACTTAACATAATATGAACAAAAAGAGTGACTATTTTCAGTATGTTTTCCTGGTACTTTTGTACTTGTCAAATACTTATCAAAAACATGCATTATAGAGTATGTACTACAAATGGTGTGTGAGATTACTATTATGCAATCAACAATGTATTACCTTTAAGATCTGGAGGATCAACTTCTTCAGCTAACATTCTCTTGCATGGGTATAAGGCTGCTTTTCGCCATTCCAAGCGTGCTTTTGGCCTCTTGCTGGTGTGTTTTTTATGTGTACAAATGTTTATAAAGGATTATTGTTTATTTTAACCAAAACAAAGTTACTATTTTATTCGAGAGGAGAAAAACTCTGAGAGGCATTACTTAACATAATATGAACAAAAAGAGTGACTATTTTCAGTACGTTTTCCTAGTACTTTTGTACTTGTCAAATACTTATCAAAAACATGCATTATAGAGTATGTACTACAAATGGTGTGTGAGATTTATTATGCAATCAACA